AGTTACACCTCACATACAAGTTATGTTTATAACGGCAATCGACAAATTTGGTATTTATAATTCTGCTGCGCTCGTCTGTGTGAGCGTCTTATTACAATTAAAAAGATACAACACACTTGCTGCTAACAGCTTGAACCATTCTTTTTGGAATTAAATTAATATAAAGTTAATTTATTTTAAGAAATTTTTCCTTTAATTTTTTGTGTAGTGTCATTATTGAACAACACTTACATGGTTTTGTTGTGTTGACTTTCCTTCCTAGCTAACAATGCTGGTAGAGTAAAGGTTCCTATTTCATTTGGGCGCAAATTATTCGAGATGTATCTACGATGAATCCAGTAATGGATGTCCAAAGGCATCCTAGTCAATGATTGTCAGTGTGACCGACTTCAGCAAGACTAAATTTATGATTTCACTTATATCAAATGCTGGGCTTATGGCTAAACAATAAAAGGAATGATTTAACGGAGAAATGCGGTTGTAAGTTGTGCGGTCACTACGGGTTTGAGTCCAATTGGGATGCTCTTATATTTGCTTAATTTTTGTTGTATTACTGCATAAAGCAAACAAGCTCGTATTCTATTATATTTGTGCCGTAAGTCAGCACAAGTGTATTTCTTTTATTATTATGGCATATATTATAACTAATGTGTCTAGTCCGAAACTATGAGACCTTGCTTAAGCTACTGTCGATCGCTTGGAAAACTAGAATACTGGGCGAATCTTTCCAAATTCATTACAAGTTCAGTAAGTTTTTACTGAGAAATCTTTAACGAGATGCCTAAAATTAATTAAGCTTTGTACTTCTAGTGTTTGTTTTTGGGTATGTCCGGATTTCTTTTTGTGACATCAAGTTTTGTGAAAAGCTTTTTTTCTTCTTAATAATACACTAAAATGCTGCTTCATTTGCTTTGCGCTTTGGTGTTCTTGTTTGCTACTTTCAGTTATTCAAAATCCATTTTTTTGATGTTCATTCTTGTTTGCATTGTTCTTATTTTGCGTTAGTTAATGTTTACAATTCGGCTATCGTTGTTAAATCTACCATTGTCTCTCTAAAGATGGCTTATCTAAAGATAAACATAAATAAGTTTTATTTTTTTATCAAAATAACGAATTTTTTACGTATTCGTTAATTGCCTTCTCACTTTGTAGTGCAGTGCGCTATTCGGTGATTAATACTGTCACGCGAGAAGCATACTTCCCATTCACACAGAAGCATTGAATATGTGTGCTTGTCTGCGCAAATTATCGTCTGGGATACCCTCGATTATCCCATCGATCAGCGGTCGGCATATATATATTTTGGACTTTACGCTTTGTCTACCCAAAACCGCGCATCAAATTTGCGACGAAGTAATACTTCGCTTCCTTTAGAGTGAAAAGTATCATTCATTACTCCCAGAAAATCGTTGATGGAAATGAAAAAGTTTTCAGTATGATGCAACGCATTGTCTTTCGATTTCGCTACTAGTTTAATGTGGATGTGCTGGGGCGTTAGCCCGAATAATACGATTAATTCATATGCCATATTGCTCCTGAGATATACGTGCATGTAAGTACAGTTATTTTGCTGATGGTCTGTCTATAAGTTCACACACAAGCAGACTCCACAAATGTGGAGAGAGAACTGCATCCAGTGGGCAACCCCTGGTGGTTGTGCGCAGAGGTGGTGCTCACCGTTACCTTTGCTATTCTACTGTTTGAAAGTCTGCCTAGCCAGTTTATCAGCCATTGGTTGATTCCTCTGTGGCTGATTGCTCTTTCTACCAAGTTGAGGACAGTTGTCTATATCTATGAAAACACAGGTAGTAACCTTTTTGTAATACACCGATAAACAGTCTTTGGTGAGTTCGATCAGAGTTGACTCTATGCAGCTTCTTGCTTAACCATTATTTTCCCAAGTGTCTTTAGTGTGACTAACTGAAGAAGACTCTGATTAGGTGTACAATAAGATAATCAAGCCGATTCTGATGCCGGAATGAAAATATTCTATCTAATCCTGCTTATATGTATGGTTGGAAAGTACTGATGCTCATCTAACTTTGAGCTCTGACAAAATCCAGTTCAGTGCCCTGGATGTGGCACCTGCTGGCATAACTACTTTTGCCAAAGAAGTTCCGCCTATACCTCCTTATTTCCTGTAAAGCAGGTTTCTTGGCCCACTAGGCAAAGCTCTGTTGTTGCTTTACTTTTAGACATGGTTTTAACAACTCTTGTGATAATTGTTAACTAATTTCTACTGGCACAGAAGTTCCGGCAATTCTATTGCTTACTTTTCTGGAACTCTTTACTACGCTCAGTTAGCTTCACAGTACATTTGTCCCACCTATCCAATGCATCAATAATGAGTCCGATCTAAAGTTTATTTTTAAAGTGTTGGCGACCTCTATTTATAGCACAACAGTAACAAAAGTTTAAGTAGGTTCTTAGCTCCGACATTACATCAAATATTTCTTTAAGTGCACTGACTAGCACCGTTGCCTCACTAATCGCAACAATACTAACATCTGGGTTAACAACGGCAGCAATCAAAAAATAAACAACACAAAAACTGAAATAATTTAACAATTTTTAAATTTAACAGGTTAGGAAAAAAACGTCTGCGGTATACCACTGACCATAGAACATATATACTGGATAACTAGAGTAAAAAAAAGGGTTCGAGAGACGCTCGCATGTTCAGACAGCAAGAGAGTAAGAAATGCATATGATTTGTGTGGTAGAACGGCATCTGTCTTTTATCTCGCTCCCACTACTCTTACTCTCATACATATGATTTGTGCGATAGAACGGCAACGCAGTTTTTTATCTCGCTCTTACTTATTCTCAGTGCTCTCAATGCTCTCTCTTTATGTTTATGCGAAATTCTTGCCTTTTAGCTCGTTATCGTTGGTAAGGGTACCTAAGCGTTGGCATGTGTGCATTTAAATTTTGTTGAACTTGCTATGCACGCACACTTGCACATTTTGTATATGAATAGAAGCATTTATGCGTTTGTGTGCCTGTTGGCTGCCTGCCTGACCGATGCAAATTTGACAAGATTTGAAGTTTTCGGGATTTCTAAATTCCGAGCTCTACAGACAGACACACACAAAAAAGTGTGTGAATGGGCAGATCACGGACTCAAAAGAAAATTTTATTATTGGCACGCGTCTGACGCGCCCTTCTTTTCTTCCTTCTACACAAGCATATAGAGCATCACACATACACACCCACGCATGCAGTTTGCTGCTTAGTTTACACTGAGCTGCTTCCCATAGCCCTCACCATGGAATATGCTCACTTCGGTGATTCTTGCCCGTTCTTTTTAAAATTTTGAGCTCAGATATATCGACTTAGCTTTTGATACTGACCAAGAATTTACCAGTAGGCTCTATTTACTTTTTGTGTGTGGTGATAAGGCCTGGCAAACTTAAAAATGCTATCAAAGTCTGGTGAAGAGAGAACCAGGAGGTCTTTAAATTAGCTATGCACAGAACCGATTTTTCCAGCTATATACAGTTTTACAATTATAAGGGCTATATAATATATAATTTGGTCGAAAAGTAGATGTATTCTATATCAGCATCAACAGCCGAGTTGATATAGCCATATCCGTCCATGTCTATGCGAACTAGTCTCTGAGTTTTTAAGCTGTCGGCTTAAAACTTTGAGTAGGTGCACTTTTCTGTTTCAAGCAGTACGTTTATCGGAACTTAGCCGGAACGGATCGGACCCTATACATGATATAGCTGCCATAGGAACGATCGGTCGAAAATTAAACTCTAATATGAACGACTTTTAGGTTAGAAAAATATTGACCAAACTCGAAATATATAAAAAAATTCTATCAACATTGGACGGATCGGTAGATAATTAGATATTAGATAACGATGTTGCTTACATATGAGCCAAATCTTATCAATGTCGCATTCTTACGAAAAATTAGATTTTGTAAGTCAAAATGATCTGTTTTCCAAGATATTTTCATCAAACAACAAAAAATCACGTAAGAGGCTCTAGTCGGGAGTTCCCGATAGGGGAACCCCCTTCGCCCACACCAAATGAAGCTCAAGCTACGAGTTCGCTTGCTTTAGCATTATTAAGAAATAGGTAAAAAAAAAAAATGACCCCCAATTTGACTCAAACCCGTAGCGGCCGCACCACTTACCACCAGCTCTACTCGACAGCCATACAAACAATTAATTTTCTACGAGGAGTAAGACGAATTAAAATAGTAGCACATGCTCTCAGAACAGAATACAATACGATCGCAATTGCAATGATGTTGTGTACATGTATTTAGAAATTATTGCAATTGTCTCCAACTGTCGCAGAAACGTTTCAACACGTTTAAATTTTTTCTAAATTTTTAAAAAAAATTTTTGGAACCGGCGCAATTTATCGATAATCGGAAACAGAATCGTACAGCTACTTTTAAAATTTCAAATCCCTAGCTCTTATATGCTTGTGATTCTTGCGTTCAGACAGCCGGACATGGCTACATCGACTCTGCTATTGATGCTGATCAAGAATATGCGTACTGTTTGGTCGGAGATGCTTCTTTCTGCCTGTAACATAAATTTGCACAAAAACATTATACTCCTTTTACCCATTTTTAATGAGTTCAGCGTATAAAAAGGTTATAATACATACTTTCTCTGTTATTTTTCTAAATTGTGACATTTTCAAAAATGTGTAAGAAATGTGGTCAGTGGACAGAGGCTAAAAGACATACGGGGTACCCCTTTTTCCCATCTCAGTGGTAGCAGGGTGTAGACCATCGTAGTCGATCTATCTTGACTAGAGCACTCTATCTTATCGAATGTAAAGAAACTGAACTGGTTACTGGATATCTCCTAGTCGGGAAGCCGCGGCTAGCATATTGTTTAGAATCATTTAATTTGTTCTGTAATACGTTGTACTGATCTTCTTTTCAGGGTGCCGGTCATAATGATGTTGAACTACATCCCCAATACTATGAACGGTTGAGAAAGTTTCTCTCCGTGGAACTGATCAAATGACAATTAAAGATTAATGTCGAGGGCGGCATTTGTAATATTACTTCTGAAGGAGCATCTAATTCGAATCATATGGCAGCCAGCTTAAAATATACTGAAAAACCACAGACTCCTTCAACAGCGAAAGAACATGAATCAAATAACAAAAAAAATATGCATGAAGATAACGATGGTTAGTAACAAATAATATATTTTTGCTTAAATAATTAACATTTGTGAAAGTCAGTCATATATGAAAGTCAAGATTTCTGATTACATATTGATACAAACAGCTCTTCCGCTCATCTTGGGTCTATCTTACAAATACTAATTTGTTAAATAATTTATAATTTTCAGGAAATCACATTCAATTTTTTAAAGCTGTCTAGCCCTTAAGATCAAAAAATAAAAAAAGAGATAAGCTAAATCGACTTAGCTAATAATGCTAATTTAAAATATATATTTTGTACAGTATCTGATTGAATTTTTTTGGCTGGTGAATAGATATACATATACTGTTTTATACTAGCAGGTATATCCCATCTATATCTATGTCATATTTTAAATTTTCCAGGAATAAATCATTTTATATAACTTAAATCCGTCGTGAAAATCAAAACTGACTTTTCTGGGTTGCTGACTCGCTTACGTCCGATTGATTAATTTGCTTTTGCTTTTACTTTGAGTTGATGTTTTAAATGTTTTGAATTACGGTAATATAAACAAGTAAGAGGTTCTAGTCGGGAGCTCCCGACTAGAGGATACCCTGAACCCTCTTCTTCCAACACCAAATGCAGCTCGCGCTACGCGCTCGTTTGCTTTAGTAATAAAGATAAATTTAAAAAAACGAGAAAGAAGGGCTATCTTCGGCACGCCGATGATTTAATACTCTTGCAGACCCAACCTTTTCATAATGCTCATAGTGCTTTGCCCTTATCTAAGAAGCAAAGGGAAACAGTTAATGATATATATATATAATAATGAAAATCAAAAAAGTTTTCCATACATCAAATTAATTTTCAACCGATCGTTCGTATGGCAGCTATATGATAGCTGACTACTACTGCTATCGGACTACTGTCCGATGTAAATAAGATTTTGCATAAATGGAGGGAGCTAGTAAAACTTATAAATACCGTGGTTGGTCACAATATCTTGATAAATAAAAATGTTTTCCATACAAAAACTTAATTTTCGACCGATCGTTCCTATGTCAGTGGTCCGATGTTGATAAGATTATATATGAGGAGCATAAATAATAAATGCCGAGTTTGGTCAAGATATAAGGAAAAAAAATTGCATGAAACAACTTAATTTTTGACCAATATTTCCTATGTCAGCTATATGATATAGTGGTCCGATGTTGATAGGATTTTGTATATATATGAGAGGCATAGTAAAACTAATAAATGCCGTGTTTCTTTAAGATTACTTGATAAACAAAATTGTTTTTCATATAAGAACCTAGTTTTCGACCGATCATTCCTATGGCAGCTATATGATATAGTGGTCCGATCCAGGTTTTTGACATATGTACTGCGTGCAACAGAAAGAGGCACTTCCGCAAAGTTTCATAAGGATAGCTTTAAAACTGAGAGACTAGTTCGCATAGTAACAGACAGACGGACAGACGGACATGGCTAGATCGACTCGGCTGATGCTGATCAAGAATATAAATACTCTATGGGGTCGGAGATGCTTCCTTCTGCCTGTTACATACATTTGCACAAATACATTATTCCCTTTTTTGTCGCGTTTTGGTTAGACCAAAGACTATATAAACACTAAGATGAGCAACGCCCATACATTTGAATGCGACGCAAAATTTCTAGCCTGGCCTTTCATCTGGCCTTTGAGGCTTCGCACGGCAGGCCTGCCGACGGCTGTTGGTTCAGACGAACGAATGCCAAAGTCGCGGCATGCTGATCCTGACACGAGCAACGAAGTTAGTCGCCAGCCTGCCTTCAGCAAAGCTGGTCGATGGAAAAAATATTTAAACCTACGATCGACGCAAAGTACTTTTGCTTTATCCATGAAATGCATGCTTTATTTTTATAGATTTTACTTTTGTTTTTGGACAGTGTATGCTCGAGAGAAGTTCTTGTCTCAGCCAATGGCGCGCAAGCACCTATGTTTGCATGTGTGGATTATACATGCATAACTACATCAAAATATGTATATATGTGTTGTTATTCACTGCTCTGGCTTTGGCTGGCAAAGAAATAATATAAATATTTGCATCGGCTTTAAAAAACGGATTTTCTAGGGAGCCGCCAACCTCAGTACACAACATGCATTCATATGTGAATACAAATTTGGGATAGGTCATGCATGATCAGCGCTAGAAATCTAACAACATTTATTTCACTGCGAGCTAAAGCCTGAGCTGTGAATAACAACACATTTAAATATGCTGTTATGTATGTATGTATATTTACACACATACAAACATAATTGCTTGCGCGGCCCTCATAGAGCCGAAGCTGAGAATACATTCTATTTTTAGCTTTTCACTCTTTTGGCTGTGAGAGCGCAATAATACTGGTTTCGTTTTCGTTCTCAAATTTAAAAAAATCAAGCTGCATAGTAGCATTTTGTTGTATGCCGTTACTCATCTTAATGTTTATATTGTCTTTGGTTAGCCCGATAAAATTGTAATTTCAACAAAGTAATAATAAAATAATAAAATGCAATTAGAACAGAAATTTGTTTTTGTAATATGCTAACTTAAAGCAGATACAAACCCGCTCAAAGTGCCACCTCGCATATATGTATATATTCGCCAGACTCCCCCTCGACGCTTATATTTATTTTCCTTCAAATATATTGTCTTGCCTGTATTGCACATAAGAAAAATAAATTCGGTCCAAATTTAGAAAAAAAAGGCATTCCCTCTACTTTATTATTATAAAATATTCCGTATTTCCAAACTTCCTACTAAATGTGCCCACGATTAGCTCACCATTCTACTCAATCGATTCTTGGGGCCTGGCAAAAAAAACATATAAAGAACAAATTTAATTGTTATGTTCCGGCCCATTCGTTTTCAATTATTATTATACGTTTTTTTTTATCGTCTTCACTAACTATTTTTGAAAATCTATTTAAGTCGTGTTTCCCATTTTTGAAGGAAAATGTAAGCTTCCCACAACGGCCGCGGACGGAACTAAAATATATGATGATATATGATTCCATTTTCTTAACTTGGTGAATTCGTTATAGTAATGATAGCCTAAACCCATTGAAAATGGGCTATATGGATAAAGTGGATTTGTGCAAATGTATGTAACAGAGTTCCGTGCGGACCTCATAAAGTATATATATTCTTGGTCAGCATTAATAGCCGAGTCGAGCAGGCCATGTTCGCCGGTCTGTCCGAACGGGTCAACCTCATAACCTATTTAAGCCAAAGACTTTACATTTTGAACTTAGCTCCTCATAGTACCTGCGCAGTATAATTTTGATTCAAATCGTAGGTAGCTTATCCCGTTTCATAAATTTGATAGAAGTCGATATCCAAATACTGTTTCTTGAACATATTGTTCGGAGATTGTAAGAACAAGAGACACAAAATTTAGTGTTTCGTATAGTACACACAGAAACAGAATCAGTTCCCCCCAAAATTGTAAAAACTTGCTCTTAGTGGTGTGTATTGTTGGCCTTTGGTATTGACACATATCGGGTTGGCATAAATGCAGAAAATTTAAAAAAAAAAAATCAGATAATAAACACCGAAGTAAATGAAGATAGCGATTTAGTGAATGTATGTCTAATCTCTTCTAAAAATATAACTTGAAATATGACTTTCAAACTTGGTGAATGTATGTCTAATCTCTTCTTAAAATATAACTTGAAATATGACTTTCAAACAAACGAATTTTCTCCAAAAAGTTGGTTGGGAACTTTGCCTTCCCTTTAAAATTTTGTTTACCTATTTAATAGGTAAAGGATATACCAGCTGTAATAAAAAAATGTTAAAAAAAAGATAGAACAGCTTTAAGTCACTCATCTAGATCAAAACCCAAGAGTTTTGCTCAAAATTTTGAATTTCGATATTTTTTTATTAACTGCTTGGAAAGACAAATTTGGAATATTTTGTGTTCAGCGCACAAAAACTTACAAGATTACATACATATTTCACTGTAGCCATACATAACTAACACAAACAAACATAGTTGCTTGCACGCCATTGGCTGAGACAAGGGTTTCTTTTGAGCATACACTATGGAAAAATAAGAGTAAAGCAAATTTTGCTTGAAGATAGTTATTGATTAATTTATTTCAAAATTATTAGAATGTAAAAATTATTTCTAAGGTTACATATCTATTAAAAACGATCAAATCATAATGTAAGAAAAAATACTAAGTGTCGATCGTACGTACACAGCTTTTATGGTTAATATATTTCGAAAACGAAGCAACGCAGATCAGCGTCGACCAGCTTTTCTGAAATCAAGCTGGAGATCGACTTCGTTGTTCATGTCAGCATCAACATGCCGAGACTTCGGTATTGGTGAGCGATAACCCACTCGTCTGGCGTAGCGTTTGAAGAGCGAAAAGCCATCTTAAAAAAGGTTTTGAGCAAATGTATGTTACAGGCCGAAGGTTGAATCTTCAACACTATAAATTAGACATTATAATCAATAGAATACGATCATGTCTATGTTCATATGTCAATCTCACCCCTAGAGCAAAGAATAAAAACACATTTTGAAGATATACAGTTTTACTCAAAATGTATATACACAATTGGATTTAATATATATGGCCCGACAATTTTACTGGAGAATTAATTCATCATACTGTGGGCTGAAGAAGAAGCATGGCCGCTGAGTTAAGGGTACAGCTTGATGCGTGAGTGTGTTTGTATTTATAGAAGAAATTTCGGATGTTTCTTATTCAGGTAATACAGCTCCTTAACTTTTTTATTTAAAAATTAATGGCTTATAAATATAGTAATAGAGTTGGTAAGTAGGTACATTTTATAGTCATAGCTTATAGAAAAATTAAGAAAACTAATCCTGTGAACGCTGCTGTATGGGCGATAATATAATGCTTCTGCTACCTCATACAATACAACATAAGTTCGTCTGTTTTCCTGTCCATTCCACTCTAAGAACACGCTGAAAATAAAACTGTTTTCCAAGGACAGTTTTGCAATTTGGAAAATACTAAACAAAATATACATTTTATATTTAATCGCTAAGAAATGCATAACGACCAGAAAATAAATAGAAGATAAATGAATCGGTACTGTAGCGCTAAGAAAAGAAAAACTGCAGCTTACAGAGTCCGTGACTTATATAATTTCTGAGATAAGGGTAAAGCACTGGTAAAAAATGTTCACTTTTTTGAATGGCTGCCTAATAATTTATTATTTTATAGATATACAATGTTATAAGTAATATAAATTAAAAACAAAACACTATTTAATTTAAAATTATATGAGACCACTTTATAGATGTTCAAAATATTCCGTCCATTTTTATTATAGCTGATTTGATTAATCACGTGATAAGCGAAGAATCACAAAGATAAGTTAAAAAAAGGCAACATCTACAGCGAAACAGAAAGATATAAAGCTTGCAAGATGTCCAGTTCAACGAATTTTACAGAACTTTGAAATAATTAACAATAATAATAATTATTTTGCAAAAAGAAATCATGGTTTTAAAATCACCTTTCGCGATAAAAGGGATTTGTCGACTATAATAATAAGTCCAAAGCATTGATAAAATAGTTAAATTTCAATTGAAACTATTGTTTATAATTCTTACAAAGTAAGTTTAAGCCACTTAGATTATATAACGCGTGTGTATATTTTTAGGCCAATGTAAAGTTCATAATAACATCCTTGCTAATAACAAAAAAGGTTTGTATGGACATAACAATGTCGGGTTTTGGTATAAACAATGAAACACCGTTATTTTTAGCGATCAATCTAATATTTTTGTGTGTGCCGATGACGACGGCTTTCTATAGACACTGCTTGAAGCGCTCTGCTAATTATCCGGCGAGTGTTATGGTATGGAGAATTGTGTCTGCAAAAGTTTTGGAGGGCGTGTGGGATTTAATGAATGTATGTGTAAAAGAAAGAACAGCAGCTCTGTATGGGATTCAAGAAATCTTCTAGTCGGTCACTCCTGACTAGATAACTCTTACTTGTTATATATATATTTTAAATCTGTAATATCTTTTCAGTTCTTTCAGCATCCAGATCGACTTCAGTAAAAGATGTTGAAGAAAAATTTCTATAGCAAAAAAAAACGGGCGTCTCTACCATTTCGCCCATAAACAAGTGTAATTTGCAAGTATCAAATACAAATTTTTTGAACGGATACGAAAACACTGATAACCGACAACTTGGATATAACTCACGATGTAATATTAAGCAAACTGAAGAGATGATTGTGGCACCATTTATGCAACTTCATAATCCAGCTCCAACACTTCCTATACACTCTCCCCATTCTCCGATGCATTTAAAATCATATTCTAAAATTCAGCCAAGTAAACTTTCTGGTCGGTATATAAATAATAAAATTTTCCAACAAAAGTCTGCTAACAAATTATTAAGTGGTAAACAAATGACTGAAAAAAACATTTATTTTAATGAAAGGGAGAGAGCAACAATCACACACTCGAATAAGATCTGTGGGTGTATTAAATCACCAAAACACGAGATGATAGAAAGCTGTGCTACAAATTTTACAGTTGAGGAGCAGAAAAGTGATTTGTCAAAGGCGACGTATGACAACAGACCGAAACGTAAAGAAAAATCAACAGTTGATTTTAAATTAAAAAAAAAAAATGAAGTCGCTTCAGACGTAAATTCAAAACATCGACGATCTCTTGGGGTTCAAGACAATCATAATATATGTCAATATACACTTAAAACTAGTAGATCTGAGCAGAGTTCACCAAATATTGTGAACATAAACAAATCAAATTTTGCATATGATTCCTTGCTACATGTTTCAGCAATGGACCCATGGATAAAGAAAAATGAGTTGCTAATGTATAGTTTGAATACAGTTGATAAAAATTCAACGGATCCATGGATTAAACTTCCAAGTAGTGATCATGTAACAACTGGAAGTTCTACAGAAAAATCACAAAAACCGGATTTTATTTTGGAAACAAAAACAAAATCGTACTTGAAACCAGTACTGCTGCAAAAAAAAATGTCTAGAAATCAAGAATTAGTATTCTCAGCGCCTCCTTCACCAAATCTCAATAATTCGTCAAATTGTACCACAAATCTTTCACAAAAAAAGAAGTTGCCAATCAAGTCTGCCAGTTTTTCACCCGCAAGATTTAAGCCTTTCGTGAATCCCTTTGAAGATTCATTATACGGCAGTATCGCAACACTTTCATTTCAACCAAATTATGTTGCAACTCCGAACCAATTAGAATACACAGAAAATGTAAATTGTAACCTTTTAAATGTGAACACTTCTAATAAAGAAGAGCTTCAGCTAAATATTCGTGGTCTATCTGAACATTTAAGTCAAATGAACGTTGTACAATTTTCATTAGGTGATTGTAATGTTAATATTAAAGAGTATGGTACACAAACTTTTGTCGAGAAAGCACAAACTTATGAGTTTCCCGCTGCACAAATAGAGTTGCCTAAAGCGGAAAAAAAAGGTTATAAAGAGATAGTGAAATGTAAGGAGAGCTTTCATTCTGTTAAGCATAACTCAAATTTTTCCAGTGTTTCGGGAAAAACAAAAGTGTATATTAACCATCAAAAGCCGAATCCAATGCCAGAAACCACCTGCTAACTATTGTTCAAAATTGAAATGTTAGAATATAGATATTTGTGTGTCTATATATTCGAATCATAATAAGTTATATCCGTATAAAAAAGCGTCAAATTTGTATTACAAAATTTTAATTTAAGCCTGCAAGCTATACAGCAAAAATGCATTTATTTAAAATAAAATATATACATTCCTAATAAACCTAAACAATGTGTATTGTTTTTCAGTTGTTGGCTTTAATAAATTTGTGAAGACCGCCAATATTTATGTTCTAATGTATTATTATAATTTCTTGTAAATCTACTTAACTCATTGTAATAAAATCTCATTTATAAAGTTCTAAAATGTATTTTTCATGCTTGATATCTCATAACTGTAATCTCTATATATAAAACTGTTTGTCCTGACTGACTGACTGACTGACTGATTGGTGATCAACGCACAGCCCAAACCGTAAGAGCTAGGAAGCTGAAATTTTCACTGTAGCTACCTTATGTGATGTAGGTGCACGTTAAGACGGGGTTTCGGGAAATTCCACCCGCAAGTGTGGAAAAATCGCGAAAAACGTTTGTATGTAACTTTTTTGTTTACCATCCGATCGGCCCCAAACTTATTTTCAAAGATCTTTGTTCAAATTCATTTGAGGGGTGGAGGTCAAAGATTTGGTGGACGACGTTTCGCGCTCAAATTCATTTCCAGAGGTCTATAAGAGAAATCATTTGAGACGTGTTTCACATTTTTCGCAGAATTCAAACTTCATCGGGGGGAATGCGATTTAAAGATTTTTTGGGTGAAGTTTTAAGTTGTGTCCGATTTGCTTTAAACTTATTTTCAAAGCTCTACATAAGAACTTAATAAATACGTATTTCAGCGATTTGGGAAATTCCACTCGCAACAGTGGTAAATTGGCGGAAAACGGTTGTATGAAAGTTTTTTGTTTACCATCCGATCGGCCCCAAACTCATTTTCAAAGATCTGTGTTTAAATTCATTTAAGGGGTGTTTCACACTTTTCGAAATATCCGTTCCTTCTTGGTGGAAATGGAGGTCAAAAATTTGATGGGTGACGTTTCGCGCTCAAATTCCTTTCCAAACATCTAAAAGAAAAATCATTTGAGACGTGTTTCACACTTTTCGCAGAATCCAAAATTTTTCGGGTGGAATGCGACTCAAAGATTTGTTGTGCGAAGTTTTAAATTGTGTCCGATTTGCTTCAAACTTATTTTCAAAGCTCTACATAAGAATGTTATGAATACGTGTTTCAGCGATTTGGGAAATTCCACTCGCAACAGTGGTAAATTGGCGGAAAACGTTTGTATGAAAGTTATTTGTTTACCGTCCGATCAGTTTCAAAATCATTTCAAATTTGTTTGAGAACATTGATTTTATAACACACGTGCCACGGGCAAGGTCGGGTTATACCCGCTAGTAAGTTTATATAATGTTTTTGTTTAAACTTTCGTGTTACAGATTTCGTTTCTAAAACGTTATGAAATCAATGATTATTTAGATAGTTTAAGAAAGTGAAACCAGTGTTGGTTTTACGGATAAGAATCCGTTGCAGTCCTCTATGAAGTTTATTCAAGGGTTTGATGAGCCCATGTCGTTGTTGTTGGGCTACGGCTATGTGACTTGCCTGCTGGAAGAAAAAAAATCATGTGCAGATGCAACCTACTTGGCCGCTAGAGGAGTCTTTGGAAGATGGGCAAACGCTCATTATGTTTTTGTAAATAGCCTGATGACTTGAAATTCGGATGTAGACAGTCGTGTGCTGTTCAACCAGCGTTCGGGTAAGGTTGCGTTTCCGTCAAATCAGAGTCCTGCTCATAGCTGGGAATGGTCTGTGATTTCCCGAAGGTAACCTGAAAGCAACGATTTTATTAGGGGTAGAGAAAGTTCGGTAGAGAAAACGTGATGGAAACTATTATAATTTTTACATAACACGCGAAAAGGATTATGCATAGCGTAATCTGTTGTGCACGTTGGTAGAAACAAGGGGCGATAATTGCTAATAGGTCTAGACGGAACAGAGAATTGAAGACGCCCTAACAGAAAAGAAAAATCTATATCGTCAACAATCAACTTATGTAGGAAGACTACACCGAGAATTGTCCTACGGTTGGTTAACGACGGAAGATTAAGAAGAAAGCGGTCTGCTCGAGTAGGATGGCAACCGAATATTTGGGTCCCAATTTAAACCTCGTAAGGCAAAAGGCAGAAATTGCTTCTGAACAGATTCAAGAAGATCCTGGCTATTGTTATGCTGCGTAGACCAGATGCAAGAGCAGTATTCATGGATAGGGCGAACAAGAAAGATGTACAGAAGTTTTGTTATAAAAGGATCGTTAAACTCTTTAGACCATCGTTTAATGAATCCAAGTACACCTTTTGCCTCATTACCGATGGTATCTATATGAAGATTGAATCAAAGCTTAGAATCAAAAAGAACGCCTAGATCCTTAACTGTTAGTATACGTTGCAATGGAGTATTGTCAATTGTATAACTAACAAGATAAGGTGTAGTACGATTGAAGGTCATAAGCATACAACAACAACAATTAAGATGCAATTGATTGGCCGAACACCAAAGTTGCATAGCGTTCAAATCATCTTGTAGACGAGAATGATGTAGGAGATTAGTTTATGATAGAATAAGGATCACATCGTCCGCGTAAGTACACGGGCATGTAAAGATCCAAGATGACTTTTTTGAGGAGCATCAGAAGTAACGTGAACCTTTCTAGAGGTAGTCAGCCACAGCACTACTCTTTGGGTCCTACCTTTTAAATAAGAAGAAATCCAATGCAAAAGAGACAGGGGAAACCTACACGGTCAATTTTAAAGAGTAGTAGATCATGGTGCACAGAGTCAAACGCTTTACTGAAGTCAGTGTAAATGACGTCAGTTTGCATTTTAGAAAGGAAAGCATCATTTACCAAGGAAGTAAATTCTGTCAAATTGGTTGTAGTTGAACGATTCTTCACGAATCCATGTTGAACAGGGGAGACAGCTGATTTGCAGAAATGTTGTAAATTCGAAGTAATTATTTTTTCAAATAATTTAGGAATAGCGGACAGATTTGCAATGCCCCTGTAATTTTATATTTCAGACTCTCCACCTTTCTTGTGGAGAGGAATGATATAAGATTCTTTTCAAAGAGATGGTAAGACAGAAGATTTAAGGGAGAGATTAAAAAGCTTTAGAAATGAATAAAGAAGGGAAGGACTACACACCTTAAGTATACAACTAGGAATATTGTCAGGGCCAGGAGAGTAAGAAGATTTTAAAGAATTTATAGCTAAAAGGAGAAAGGAATGGGAAATAATAGGGCTGGTATAGAACTAGAGGATATTATAGTATAAGGAAAAGAATTATTGTTAGGACAGATTGAAGAGTAGGCTGATTTGAAAAAGTTAGCAAAGAGGTTAGCAGAATCAGAGTCATTGCTAGCTTTATCCATCCCGAGAGAAAAAAAAGATGGCATGGATGTGTAAGTGAATAATGACCAAGAGATGTTCGCAAATTAAAATCACCTAACACCATAAATAGGCCATTATTACGCAAGTGTGAAGAAACTTCTTTAATACAAGTAATATGTTTCATATAAACTTGAATATCAGAAGAAGGAGGAACATAGGAGCATGTGATATATATACATATATATATCACGTGATGGAAAAGTCACCTTAACTGAGACAATCTCAGCGTCAGTAGGCGTACTCTCTGACTGGAGAGTGGCTTTATCGGCAATTTAAACCCCACCACCTGGAGTCTGCCGATCATTTCTATGCAAAATAAAATTGTTCGAGAAAATTTCAAAATTAGATATGATTGAATTTATTCATGTATCTAAAAAGGCGATTATATCCGAATCGAAGTAAAGTTTTCTAAGCTTAGAAATGAGATCTCTGACATTCTGATAATGAATAGAAACTAGCTCGGAAAGCAAATTTAGTTTTTTGGGGCAGTAAAGGTATCTTGTATCGAGGGGACCGGAAGGGTGACTGGGAAAGGCTGGTGTCGCTATTTTCGCTTAAACTCGTGAACAATAATGTGAGGAGGCCAAAATTTAGAATCACAAATGATTGGGAATGGTGGTTCTAGTTGAATGTTTAAACTCAGATATGTTTTTGGGTGCTTCATATATATAGAGTTTTAATGATAAATGATTTAAAATTAAAATAAAAGGAAAAAATTTAAAACAAAATTCAAAATCGACTTAAAAATTACCTTTTTAAGCCACTGCTTCTTAAAATATATTAAAATGAAAACAGATTCTTGTTGACATTGTAGTAGATTAAAGCCTTTGACAATTGTACTCTCTGGTAAACCCAGTAAATGCGGTAAATGCGGTTATGCAGAAATTTCATAAACAGCAAATAAGCTGGTTATTGCATTTGAACATATTCTCAAAACCAGATGATTTTTTGCATTTTCTGCATGCTTGGGTAAAATGGAACCAACAAGCATAATAATTCATGTTGGAATGCAAGTTTTTCAAAGCGTCGCGCATATCCTCTTCATAATCGGAAATAAATGATGCATTTAAGCAGTAAATGTTGGAGTCTATATATGTAAACAAATGCTGATAGCAGAGCTCCGTTCGCGGCACCAAAACAAATATAAATGGAGTTATCTAAATAATAATAAAAAATTTAAATTATTAAATTAAAATAAGCACAAAAAACAAGTAAGAGGTTCTAGACGAAAGCTCTCGATTAGGGTATACCCTGAACCTCTTATTCCAACAACAATAAAAATAAATTTAAAAAAAAATGTTCCCTTGGCAGGGTTCGAACTCGTAACTGACTGCATTACCTGCTGCCGACTCTACTCAACAGCCACACCATGCTCAAAAAAAAATGTTCCCTCAGTAGGTCTCGAGCTCGCAGCAGACCGCACTGCCTGCCGCCGCCTCTACCCAACAGCCACACTAACTATTGAGACTTAATGAGAAAAAATCAAACTAAAATAGCAGCATAGAAAACAATACAATCGCAATTGCAATGCTGTTGATAGAATTCAAAGCAGACGCGCAAGAATGTGTGTGTGTACATGTATACAGAAATTCTTTGAATTTTCGCTTGCTGCCGCTGATACGAAGAGCGCCAAAACTCGTTTTCTTTAATAATTTCTGTGTTTTTTAACCGATATTGATGAAATATACAGTATCTACATCTTATTCTGCTATAAAATATTCGTGTATTCTCAAAATGTCAGTTGCATTTAACTTGTGGCCTAATTAGATAGGCAATACAAGTTGGTTTACTAACATGATTTATAGCTATGTGGTGATAGCGTTGTGGTGGCGATAACTATAAAATGAAAGATACTTTATATATACAT